CACTTTACAGTTAAGTGCCACGACGCTTTTTACGCAATTTATCAAAACGTTCTGCAAACTTATGTTAGCAATGTTTTTGTTTCTCACGTTCAGTGTGTTGTCAATACACAAAGGTAAGACCCTGACCATGAGATCGCGTTTCATGATTGGCAGTTTTTCTGTGTTGGTAGCAGTATGCTCAATAGTTTGGCAATTAACCCCCGAAACGTGTGAAGTGGATTATTATGAATACAAAAAAACAAAAACAATGAACCATGCAATTTGTTTTTCAACATGCCATTAAAATTCTACAAGATACATTGCCTACCCCTGGTTAACTTATTTAAGTAGATGGTTGCACCCTGAAAATATTATTTTTGAAAATTGAAAAATGATTGACAACTTATTGTCAGAATGATTATTCAATTTTAGTTTTGATTCTGCAATGATTTCCTCATGTATGAGCTAATGCACTGGTCATTTGCACAGATACCCACACCCACCAACCAACCAGCCCAAAATTTGTCTTTAATCATGCCAGAGTGTAATTGAAAATCTTTAAGTGTGGTGGTCTCCATACCACGCATGTACTGAATTTGTGCTATCATATTATCAATGATTTTCTCACAATCCATTGCGCTTTCCCAGTGGCAAGGCCCAAACACAATGATGTGCTCAAAATACTGACTTTGAATTGTATTACAATATTAGTATTCAACGATAATTCTAATAATCCCAGCAATTTCCCAAATTTTTTTTTTTGTACTTGTTGATCTGTGTAACATTAAGTCCTCATTATCTCTGGATTACCTCAGATAAGTGCATCATCTCACACATATTTCACTAAATATTGTGACACTATGTGAGTTTTATTTTATGGAGTATGGAGTATGAAAATGATCTAAAATAATATTTTATCTTGATTACAATAATAAAAATAGGAGTCACTGAAACTCAAACATAATAGAAGCCCAAATAGACAAAGATACACAAGACTTGTCACAGGCTGCAATTTTTTAGATTTAGTTTGGCTGAACGAGAAACTTACAAAATATCCTTAATTTTATGTACTATGAGTTTATCTTCAAAAGTTAAGACTTTCAAATTGTGCATTTTACATTTATTTTTTATCAGTATTTATTTTTGAAATTTTGTATATAGCTACAAGTATCAATAAAAACTAATGGCCAAATATTGCCATGACACAATCAGCTATACAGTTGTACATAATGCTAGTCCAGCTAGACTTGTGTGCATCTCTACAAGTACCATTAAAACCTGGTGGCATCACTCAATATTACCATGTCACAACCAGATCTACGAAATGTACAAGCAAAAATCATGGTAAATAATCCTGCACATCTATTACTTAGGGAAAAAATATTACACACAGTAAAAATAAAATTCAACATTGAAAAACAAATTAGCGCTAAACTAAGTGAAGGAAAAATATTTTATATAGTTCTGTCAACTCTCCCTACGAGTTTCTAATGGTCCACATGTTAGTGTTTATTTCATTCAAGCACCACCAAGATATCAGAGTTATAGAAGGGTATGACACAAATATACGTTGTATCTTTTTTACATTTTTCCAATTTGTTACTGTGAAATTGCCATATTTAAGTGTTTTATCAGGACCCCCAACTTTCTGGGAGGTCGGTAATGCTCTGGAGAATAAGTATGTTTTTTTTTGTTTTTAATTTTGGCCAGTGTCAGACCCTGACAGTTTGTCACTGAATACCCTAATTACCCTGTACTCTATAGTGCATGTATATTTCTTTATTATCCCAAGATAATGATGCATACCCATCGGTATAATCATTCACAGTTTAGTGTAAAATACTCTCACGCTCCCTTCATTTATAATTCAAACTAAATTCAAACTGGAATGAGAGGTTTCTATTTGCTGATTGAGTAACATTGCACATTTTTCAAATGATGTTGCACACTCTGCTCTTTGATTGGCTGGTTTGATTGAACTGCCACTGAAATTTATAAATAAATGCATTTATTGCACCAAGAATATCATATGGTAAGGTAACACTAAATTATCCTTTTTACATGGTTTTATGTGAAGAAAGAGAATTTGTGCAACAGTACAGTTTCCATCATGCCTATACGACATTTTCAGACTAGATAATAACAATTATCGGTACTTGCATTGGTGCAATAACACACTCATATTAATGAATGAAACTGAAACTTTATTTTGAAAAGATACTACTCCAGGTACTGGGTTAATATTTCAGACAATATTAAAAAACCTCTGACCCTAACTACACCATGTGCTTAGACATCATAACTAATTAGCATAGATTAGCATACAAGTCCTACCTAATTAGCATAAATTAGCATATAAGTTGTTACATGTATAGTTTTGTTGGTATCAACTGTTTATATTAGTAAATGATGTCAGGTGATAATCTCATAATATCATGTGATGTAAATCCATGTGTAACTTGTTATCAAGCTTACCATACCCAACTTGCTATAGGTTACAAAATAGAAAATATGTCACCAATCCACCCCACCCCACCCTACACCACCCATACATATGTCACCAATCCACCCCACCCCATCCTACACTACCCATACATATGTCACCAATCCACCCCACCCCATCCTACACCACCCATACATATGTCACCAATCCACCCCACCCCATCCTACACCACCTATACTGAAGTTGGTTGTCGGGTGGGTGTAAACAGACTTTACACTCGGACCAAACCATTTTCTCGTCTTGGATGTGTGTTTTTTCATTTTCTGTTATTTTTGTCCATGACTGGATAGAGAAAAAAACGAATTACAAATACTCCAACATATTTTTGACTTCATTAAAAAATAAAATCGTTTTTGTAGGATAGAAACTTTTTGAGGTCAACATCCGACATCGATCTCTTGACGTCGTCCCTTATTGAAGAAGGTTTCATGTTTGCTTGCTATAAAACTAGCCATCTGAATTATATTGTATTTAACATAGCAGCAATAAAATATTGGATTAACAATTAAAGTTACTAAGCATGCTACTATAGAGTAAATGCAAGTCATTTTTCTGCCTGTCACTACAAACTATAAGAATAAGAACAATGCCGCTATCTATTTGTCAAATTGGCATGGAATTGTCAGGCTTAGCTTGCATTGATTACATAATTTAGGCTGGAAACTATGTTTAAACTCATATCAAAGAATGCTTGATGCTTGACTTCTCATACAAATGTTCTGAGTTTGAATCCAATTACGTCTGTTGCTTTTTAGCACTACTGAAGTTGATCATGGTGGTTTTGTCAAGACAAAATATTCAAAGTTTGTCTCCATATTAAACAGATCACAACATGCTGACTTTGTTTAAATCTGCGTTACAAATTGAAATGTACGTGATTTCAATGTTGTACAAAGTCATTGATTGAATATATCACTTCGGAATCCACTCACTCTGATTGAATTTTCTGAATTTTTACTGTTTTTTAACTGATCAATTACAGATTCCATCTTCAATTCAAACTTAGCATTTCTTTGAAAAGTAAATCTCAAGCACCAAGGTGTCACGCTGAGTACTGTCGTTGAATGATAAATAATTTACCACTTTTTCTGTGGTTTAAGTTATTGAAGTGCGCCCTCTGTGTCTGACACATATAATTCCTTCATTTAGCTTTCAGATCCATGTTGTATTTCCGAAGCCAAAAAAATAAATGTCACACCATATTATCTACAGCACAGACTCAAAAGTTTTGTAATAACATTGTAATTTGCTTTCATCTTGCTCAGTCACTAAAAATATATCATAGGTTATGTTAAAGTAATTTATGGGTCCAGGAAATAACTATTTATGTATTTATGCAAATAAAATTTTGTTTGCATTGACAAGATGTGCACAGCATCACATTGACATGTACCCTAATAGCATGTGTAGTTTCTAATTTATGTTGTGTAAAATCAGAATTGTGACTGACGAGAGCATGGAGGAAACTTTGAACAGCAAAATGGCTTACTGGGGGCCACACAAGATAAAAATAAAATGAACTCTAGGGGGCAACCTGCTCTATGAACAAAGCTATATTAAACAAAATTACAGATAATTTTTTTTTTTAGAATGCATTCATACACATCACGTGCACATGGGAAATATCTGCATCATATCATTGATCTGTTTCATACTAAGAGTCAACTTATGAATGGCCTTTCATGTGTCACTGCTTTTAGTTTTGGACACATGAAAAAACAATCAAAATCTGGCAAGGAACACTCCATACTAACAAAATTGTTTTGTATTTAAGTATTTAAATTTAACATAAATATAAAAAAGACTAATGATATAAAAAGGCCAAGGTGTAGCTAAGGAACAAGTGGTCTTTATGTTTGAAATCCTGTATGGATATTCAACCTATTAAATTCAAACCATTGTTTGCATTTCAAATTTAGTGAATATTATTTGCGCATAAGTGATAATTTTTTATTGAATCTGAAATATTATTTTTTATAGAAAAACTGTTCCAAAATGGAAACCTTTGGAACAATTTCCTATATTGTAAATAATCAAAATTCCCTAATAACTCATGACAATCTTAAGTCTGTGCTTATCTTATGGTTGCCCAT